GGTGGTTATTTCACATGGTCGTGTCTTCTTTCCTCAACTGTATTACAATATATTTGTGAATAGAGCTCATGACTTTTGTATTTCTTCGGTGGTTAGCATAGTGTCGCCTGTACTGCAGGTGCTTAGTAAATGTTCTTATTTGGTAGATTGTGTGAGATACTCTATTTCTTTAAAAATTATATTGAAATAATATACATAAAGGCAATAATAACAATTATGGGGTATAAGAAAACTTGAAAAGATTAATTACTACCAGTCATCCTGACATGGGGTTACATGAGAAAGGTACATTTAAAAATTAGTATCAGAACATATGCAGAGTGAACAGCCTTCCCTCAATAGCAGTTGTTTCTCAACTGAGGGAGATTTTGTCCTGTGGGGACATTTGGCAATGTCTGCAGACACTTTTTGGTTGACAGTTGGAGGGATACTGCTGGTATTTAGTGGGTAGAGGCCAAGGATGCAACTAAACACCCTAAATGCACAGGGCAACCACCCACAACAAAGAGGTGTTTGGCCTCTAATGTGAATATTGCCCTGGTGGAAACACCCCACCCATAGAACTGTGTGGATACCACCATGAACATCCTTTACCACCTAAAGGGATGAGAACAAACAAAAGCAGTGTGTATTTTTATATGGAGGAAATGGTTATCTATTATAAGCTAAACAGTGGGAACTGCAGCCTTGTACATAAACTAGAATGGTCTGACAGTTAAAAAGATGTGTGATAGCTGCTTCGTGAATAAACAGGCGCTTCATGTCTTTGGCCTTGCCTTTGGGAGGAGAAGACAGTAAATAGAATTCTCTTAAGGCTGGCTGCATTTATCCCGTGGTTTTAGAAAATAAGAGGCTTTTGCTAAGCCAGAAAGATCTATTCGAATATTAAGTCACGTTTTTAATAAGCTGGAATTCCTCCAAAAGGTTTGATAGTTATATTAGAACTTGAAAGCATACATCCTTTTGTTTTTTTCATTTTTAAAGCTTCCTTGAAGAATACTTGATAATTTTTAAGGTATAAGAATGGTACGCTTTCCCTCCTGAAATTAATTTTGGGGCGTACTTTTGCTGCACTCAGTGGCAGAGTGGTACAGTGGGAAGGACAGTTCACAGAAAGATCCTAATCAGGTCACCTCAACCATTATCTACCTCACCTTCTTCATTGTCAAAAAGAAGGACTAGATTTGATGACCTTTGGCTTTAAAATTCTACGTTTTGGTTTATTTTCAAAGAGTAAAAAAGATTATTTGTGCAAAGTTCTTTATGAGAGAAAATTTGAAGGCATAAATTATTCCAGTTTGTTTCTTAGAAACTTAGAAATATCCTTTCCTACAAAGGCTCACTCCCAATGTTTAAAGAAAGCAAGGAATTCCTGTTATAAGTAAAAATTGTCCCCACCTCCAAACAAAATAAAGAGTCAAATAAAATTCACAGCTGATTTTAAAATGTCATTGTTAGCGAATTTTGAAAATTCTGCCCATTTTCTTTTCTATGTTTATACTTCAGTATAAAGAAAATATCCTAAGAATACTGATAATGCTGCTGAGTTTTTCACACAATTCATGTTAAACTAGATGCTTCCATAAATTTGCTGTTTGTAAAGGTAAAACACATTTGAAAGCTTTATTAAGGTTTTTAGTGTACCATTTAGTAACTTACTGGGCTCTGAATGAAAGGATGAAGCTTTCCTATTTGCTGGATAGAAAATTAAATGGAACCTTGAAATCGCCTCCTTTTTCCTAACGTGGCAATTCAGATATTCACGAGATTGGGATATTATAATATCCCAAGTAATGACGCTTGCTTTTGTGGTGTCTCTATTCTGAAGAGACTGGGAAGTTGAGTCCAGCATAGTCCAGTTTACGAAGAGACCTATTCTAGAAGTTAGGTATTCAGTTAGGATCCTGATTTGAAGATGCTTTTTGGATAGACTCGAAGATGCTAAGGGCATCCAGGATCTCATTCCAAGAGCTGATGTTGCCTACAGGGAATAACACTTTGTGACATGGGATACAGCCATAAAATAGCGCCTTAGATGAATTTTCACTCAGCAGAGGTTACCTGAGCACCTCCTGAATGCAAAGCACTTACTTACATACTATAAGCAGTATGTACAGTGGGGAATCAAAATGTGTATCAAAAGTCCCAATTTTCAGTGAGCTTATTGTAGCGGGAGGAAAAAGAGAAAGGACCTATGCAAACTACTGTAATGTAAAGAATAGGGGCGCCTGGGTGGCTTAGTCGTTTAAGCGTCCGACTTTCGCTTAGGTCATGATCTCGCTGTTCGTGGGTTCGAGCCCTGCATCAGGCTCTGTGCTGACTGCCAGCTCAGAGCCTGGAGCCTATTTCAGAGTCTGTATCTCCCTGTCTCTCTGACCCTCCCCTGCTCACGCTGTCTCTCTCTCTCTCTCTTCTATAAAAAAAAAAAAAAAAGAATAAAATAATGACTACTTAGAGGCACAGATACAATTCTAGACTACTTCAGAAGAAATTGTTTAACTTGTGGGAGTAGGAAAGTTAGACTCCACAGAAGATGTGAACAATGAGCAGAATCACAGAAGTGGAGATGAAGGACATATGATGCATGGCTGATGAGTCTGAGGTGTTAAGTTGACCAGAGCAAGAGAGGAAGGGAAGTAGTAGAGATATGCACAAGTGGTGGGGTCAGAATAATTGAGCAAACCAGGTTGGAAATAGAATCTAGAGACAAGCAAACTAGTTAGGGAAAGGAGCATTTCCTGGGAAGAGAGAAAAAAATGGTGGCCCAAATTGGCATAGTTTCTTTGCAATAAGAGGAGAGGGTAAGTAGGAGAGAATTGAGTGCAATTGGCCAGTCTGGTAGCTGGTTGGGTGTGCAGGTACACAGGGCCATAGTCAGTGAGGTGAACTGGGGTTGTAAGCCTGAGAGAGAAGATGGTTGTGCTATTGTTGGAAATAGGACTTCCAGGAAGGGGTGGGTTTGATGGGACACTGATGTATTCTGTTTTGAACATGTTGAGTTATGTGTGCTCTCAGGAAATAGCCAAGGCAGGGTTATAGTTGAAGTACAGGAAATTAATTGCAAGCTCCAGAGAGGAGTCCAGAAAACCTGTGACAGTCTTGAAGGAGACATAGCATAGATCTTTTTGAGTCCCATTTTGGAATACCATATTGCACATAGTGTGTCCCACCTCAGGAAGCAACCCACAAATGCCCCCTGTGGAAACTGAGCACATGACTAGGCTTCTATCACCAGCCAAATGACTTGTTAACACACACCAGTTTTCAGAAGCACAGGTGGTTCAGATCATGTCTCAGAAACAATTGCTGTCGGTAGTAGATCCTTAAGGTCACTGTAAAATCAGACACCACGTGTTAAATCAGTGACTGAGCAAGAGAACCCAAATGTTGAGGGAAAAATTAAGACTGCGAATGGAACCTTGAGATTATCTGCATTTAGGATTGGAGGGGGAATGGGGGTTAGAGAAGAAGGCAGAAACCAGAGAAGTAGAGGGAATAATGCTTAGGGAAGCTGGGGGAGGGGAGTTTTAAGGAGAAGGAGGCATTTCATTCAGGTATCTCAGGTACTGCCAACTGGTTGAAGAGACTGCATTTAGTAGTAGGAAGTTCTCAGATCCATTTGAGAGACAGATTTTGCTGGAAGTGAGAGAGGGGAAGAAGCTAGGTAACAGATAACAAAGGAATAAATGGGAAAGTGTAGCACAGAGAGTAGACTATCATTAAATAAATTGAGGGGGTGGAATGTTGTTGGTAGAATGACAACCAGTTTGAGGTAAGAGTGGTTTAATATTTTTGTTGTCATTATACAAAGGAAATATGAGTGTGTTCGTAGATGGAGAGGAGAGATTGGGGAAGAATGATAGGTGTAAATATTGATGATGTGAGTGCTTAGCAGAGTGTGAAGAGCACATTTGTTGGGGGACATCTTTCCTTGGAGAGGAGGATACTTTCCTGTGAAACCCGAGGAACAGAGGACCCATGGATGAGGCAAATGGTTTCGATTTTCTTCTATTACAAGAAAAGACCATATGCAGAGACCAGGGAGAAATTGGGAGTCCTAGATGAGAGCTGAAGGAAGTATCTAGAATTAGGTAGAGAGAGTGGAGCAAGAAGAGCCATGTGTTGAAGACCAGGAAGTGGAGAAATTGACTGTCTTAAGAGACCTGAACAAGTAGAAGAAACTTTTTTAAAAAATATTTTTTAATGTTTATTTTTGAGAGAGAGAGTGAGTGAGAGACAGAGTGTGAGGGGAGGAGGGGCAGAGAGAGGGAAACAGAATCCAAAGCAGGTCCCGGCTCCAGGCTGTCAGCATAGAGCCTGATGTGGGACTTGAACTCACGAATTGCGAGATCATGACCTGGGCTGCAGATGCTTAACCAACTGAGCCACCAATGTGTCCCTAGAAGAATCTTTTTTTTTTTTAAGTTTATTTATTTATTTTGAAAGGGAGAAAGAGCACTAGCAGGGGAAAGGCAGAGAGAGAGGGAGAGAGATGAACCCAAGCAGGCTTTGCACTGTCAGTGCAAAGCCCATCATGGGGCTCGAACTTAGAAACCTTGAGATCATGACCTGAGTCAAGATCAGGAATTGGACACTTCATTGAGCCACCCAGGCTTTTTTAAAGTTCTTGAACAAATAGAAGAATCTGAAGTGATCAATACCCTTAGTCCCTTAGCCACAGAGAGAGTGTCCCTCACTCATCAATAAATGAAGGTTTTATAATGTGCTAAAGACATTCATCAGGAAACCTTATGCTTAAAATACTTGTTCCACTAAATGAAATAAAAACTAAAATTCTTAACAATAAGTCATATTCATCATCATCATCTCACAACTGACTGAGCCCCTAGTTTTGGCATGTACTAATAGTAGATTATTTAACTCATCTGTTGACACTTAAAACACATTAGGGTGATGCATTTTATAAAAAAAGTATACAAAAAATTTTAAAAACCTCTTTATAAAAAGAGCTCTTCCATAGCCAATCTGTCAAAATTTATGCTCACTTCAGCAACGCATATACTAAAATTAGAATGATACAAAAAAGAACATGGCCACCGTGCATGGATGACACACAAATTCATGAAGTGTTCTATCTTAAAAAAAAAACGAATGTGCTTAACTGAGCTTAGTAAAAGGTGGGTGAGCCTTCCGTAAAACAGTGACTATTTGTTGAATTCCTTTTCCATCAAAATGTTAACTTAGAGTTGAAATGCAAAAGAAGAGATTTGATACAGCATTTTGACATTTCACATTTAAAGTAATTTCATTAGGTCATCAAGCTATGAATTATTGAAGACTGTTTTACTGTAAACAGTTTTTTCCATTATCTTTCTTTGAGTTAGAAACAAACTGCATGCCATTTGCCTGGCAAAAGATAAATGTATTAAGCGCTAAAATATACAAAGATTTTGGCATTATGTCTCCTCTGCTTTTTATTAATGAATGCTTTTGTTTAGTCTTATATCAGATGACTAGAACAGATTTGTGTTTTGAATAGTTAAAGCCAGGAACAAAACTCTGTAATCATGTTGACAAAATTCACTTGAAAAGTCGAATCTCATTTGGGGCGAGCCATGTTCTATCTTCTTTCTACCCCAGCATGCCCAAGCAAGGAAGTAGACTCATCAGTTACAGTGGCTTCCCAAGACAATGATTCCAGTAATGTGGAGACGATTTTGCCAACTGCCATATATGTAGTGTTAGTGCATTGAAGGTGTCCAAGAACCTACTGTTGATTAATTGGCTAATTCTCACTATAGGGTAAGGCAGAGGTGTCAGACAAGGTCGGCAGAGTATTCTATATTATTTGGTCCTCATCCTTTAGCGTTTCCCATCACATGAGGCAATTCATAACTGAAACAATTCAGTATAAACTAAAGCTAAGAATTAGCCTTCTCCAAAGTATTTTTATGTGCTGCCCAAAGAGATGGTCGCTTTAGAAGTTCTTCTAACAAACCTGGGTAAATATGTCCTGAGATATTGTCTTTATTTCAACAGTTTAAAAGTTGGGTGAATTAGAAGTCAAAATGCAGAAACATTCTGTTACAGTGTGTAGAAAAAGTATGTCTCAAGGTCAAGGTAACCACTGTTGCCTTTTCAGGAGTCCGGCAGAATGATGGCTGACTGCCCATAGACAGGGAGCCAATTCTGTGGTGTGGTTGCCATGGTCCAGGATCTGCCTGGCATTGAAGGCTGGAAGCCCAATTTTATTAGTATACCTAGAGGGATTGAGAGTCCAGGGATGACAGACTCATGCCAACCTAATAAGAAAGCGAGGTTTGAACCAAAATGTTAATTTACTCTTTTCCAATAAAAACTGTACTTCTCAAGTGTACTCAGATCTGCTAACCAAGGCATTGCCTTCCCCACATGCTTATCTATGGGAAAGGCAGATTATAGTGGGGCAGTTTGCACCGTGAGTGTGGAGCCCATGAAGGGCGTTGGCTGATGATCTTAAAATGTCTGATGGCCTCAAACCCTGTGCTCAGTGCATCCATTTTGACTGTAGGGAAGGAAGTTCTGTTTGACACACAAACTCCCTCACCTGTGACAGGGTCTGAGCCACACTGCCAAATGGGGTCTTTCCAGAGTTTGCTTTTGTAAAGATAAAATCTAGGCTTTTTAAAAAGTATATCCAGTTGGCTACTGTGTGCTCTGTTAGCTGCCATCACATCCCTGTCCCTTAGATTTGAGGCGATCATAGTATCTTGGGCCTTTTCTATTGGCAACTCATTCTCATCACTTATGTTTTGATTTTCCCCACTTCAGCCTTAGAGTTTTTCCTTCATTTTGGTTCAGGGGCTAAAATGGTTTCTGTCCCATGTCCTACTTACCTGTCTTTTGTGTCTGTTCATTAAACTAATCTCCCTGACTGAAAACTAACCTCCTACAGATAACTTTTTGGCACATCATTTAATAGTGGCATTTGAAAAAAAATTTAGTATATAAGTGGAGTTTTAGAGTTCCCTAGTATTTTATTTCTTAAACACTTCTGTGTTTAACAAATACTAAGCTATAAACTGTATGCTTTTATGTTTTAGAATTTTCGTGGATGATTTTCTTGTGAATATCTAAAAAGTAATATATCTATTTAAGGGGAAAATGTTCTACTCTTACCAACTCAGTTTTTCTTTAAGAAACTGATATCCTGTCAGCCCTCAGTTTGGGCGCTTGGGGGTGGGGGATAGGGGAAGGGGCGTGATGGGCATGAGGGAGGACACTTGTTGGGATGAGCACTGGGTATTATATGGAAACCAACTTGACCATAAAGTATTTAAGAAAAAAAAAAAGAAACATTCTAATTCTGAAAGGGAAATACACTGTATATCTGAAAAACAAAGAAAAGAGAAGTGAAATATCAAAGAAGGAGGTCAGGAACAATAGAAGTACAATAAATAAACCATCTTACACATTTAGTGACCAGTAAAGTATAATTATCTCTCAAGTTACTCTACAAGGATGATTAGAAAGACTAAGAAGAGACTGTATAAACTGTCAGGTTTATTAATCATATTAGCATGTCAGATCAAGTCCAGTTCTGTGACCTCATAGAAGAACCTGTTAGGTGTTCATTTCTCTCTTTAGTTAAAGGGGGATATGTAGCCGCTTTTGCTTTTTGGTTTTACTTTGAACGAAGAAATATAAGCCAAGAGAGCAGTGATTAAATATCTACATGTCTATAACTTTTTAGAGGTTATAAGAGTATATTCATTCCCGAAGTTACATTTTTCAAAACTATTGTTCACTACCCAACCAGATGGGAATATTTGAAGTGATATTTTATTAACAGCCAGGAAACAACTAGTCAGTGACATTAGTAGATATGTGCTTATCAGGCTAATACCAAGATGTATTATATCTTTGTATATACTACTTCCATACACATAATGTAAAAATTTATAAAATTCTGACATTAAGAAAAACTAGTTACATTAACATGCATGGGCAGTTTTGCTGAGAGAATTGGGCAAAATCATGGATGGGTTTATTGGTGTCGAGATTGAGACTTGGAAGAAACAGAGAGATCAGCTGTGTGCTGTGGTAGAAATTAATTATCTTTTGTTGTTTTGATAGTGCTCTGAATGCAGATTGGGGTAGGTCTTATCTAGGATGTGATTTAAGATATAAAGTTGTTTGTTTCAGGAAGCTCTCTTTTTGTAGTTCCTTGGAAATTTCTCAAAATGTTGGAAGAGTGAAACATGTTGTCATGTTAAAACATTTTGTGACCTAGTTTTGGCTTAAGTATACTTTTGTACTGGAAAGATACACAGGGGATTGAGGCTTTACTCTGATAGCTAAATGAACTCAAATATATGCTGAATGTAAATTGCTTTGATGGTGATTGGATCACACATTCATAGATTCTGGACTTTGTTTTTCCTTTCATGAGCAAGACATTCCTTGGAGTTAAGGGTAGAGTTAAATTAAAGAGTAGCAAATTGTTTCCCTCTTTGGAAATAAGCAAAATCACCCTCTGATAATAAAATATTTCTTTAACATGTCAAAATAGTTACTGAGGAAAGAAAGCATGAGGGGGAAATAGGGATAACTCATTTAGTGGCTTGCTGTTTAGGAAATGAAATATGTTTAATAAAAGTGCAATTGCCTTATACTGTGTGACTGGAAAATAATGAGACAAAGAAAAAAATGAAAAACACCATACTAGAACTTATATGACCAAATAAATCTTATCCCATGGGAGGCAATCCGGTTTTCTAGCTCTCCTCTAATTGAGCAAAACATTTTCAGACTCTTTCAGAATTGTCTTCAGAACCGTTTCATGAGCCAAACCCCAAAATCAACATCTTTACTTTATTATCACACCTCTTTTTGGACCCAAAAGAATATTACTCAGCCTGATCCCCCACTTAATTTATCAGAATTGGCTCAAGCTATTTCCAAAAATACAGTGTGCTCGTTTATAGGACAATTGAATATTTTTATTCATTTATTTATTCATTCAATGATGGAGGCCTAGTGTCGCCAGTGAGTCAGGTATGTTGTGGTAAGACATAGGGGTCTAGCTCTGGAAACAGGGAGGATCACAGATGAGCAAGAGGTCACCAGATGGACAGAGAAGAGAGCTTCCTAGACCAAGGTATCAGCTTGTATTGAGGCACAGAGCAAATGCCATGCACATTTCAGGAACTTCACGTATTTCAGGATGGATAGAATCTACTTAAAAGATGAGAATAGATTGGTAATTATGGGCAAGATCATGAGGATCGTAGTAAGTCATGGAATGGAAGATACAGTGGCTAAGAGTAAAGGTTCTCTCTCTTTTTTTTAATGTTTATTTATTTTTGAGAGAGAGAGTGTGTGTGTATGAGTGGTAAAAGGGCAGAGAGAGAGGGGTACAGAGGATCCAAAGCGGGCTCTGTGCTGACATCAGACAGTGTGTGATGCCAGGCTCGATTTCCTGAACTACGAGATTATGACCTGGGCCGAAGTTGGGTGCTTAACTGACTGAGCCACCCAGGCTCCCCAACAGTGAGGGTTCTCTTGCCTGATTATCTGATTTCAAATTCTGGCTCCTTCATTTATAAGTTTTATGACACTGAGCGACCTCCAAATCTTCCAGCCTTAGTTCTTTTCATCTGTAAAAGAGATGATGATACCTACATTATAGGGTTACATTATAAGGTTAAGAGGCTTAAGTACATAGATGCAGATAGAGTTCTTAGTACCATTCGTAGCACACAGTAAGCACTCAATAAATGCTAGGTTTTTGTACTGCTTCTTTGTCCTGTGGGCAAGAAACAATAATGGAAGTACTTTAAAAAACAGAATATACTTTATTGCCTTGTGTAGCATTGACTACTCCTCTTTTCTTTAAACAGTTTCTTCCCTTGTTTTTTTTTTTCTTTTCTTTTAATTTTTAATTTTTTTATTTTACAGAGAGAAAGAGAGACGGAGAGAGAGAGGAGCAGAGCAAGAGAGAGGGAGAAAATCCCAAGCAGGCTCCAAGCTCAGTGTGGAGCCCGATGTAGGGCTCAATCCCACAACCCTGGTATCATGACCTGAGCCAAAAACAAGAGTCTAACATTCAATTGACTGAGCCACCCAGGCACCCCTGCTTTTCCTTTCTCAAATAGCTTTT